AAAAAAATTTGCTTTTAGCTGGTGTCTTGGTCTTAATGGCATTTCCTCCTTTTAGCTAGTGTTTTCTTTTTTATGTGCTAAAGTTTCCGGTATGAAGGCATCACATTTATCCAGAGGACCATTAACTTCTCACTCTAATGAGGATGATAGTTCTCAGCAGTAAAAGTCAACACATGTCAATATTTTACTAGTATGAAGCAGTTAATTACCTGGGTGACATTTTCTGTGGATCCCTGAGAATCAGCTGGAAATTTTGTATCTGACAGCAATTATCTCCAGCAGCAGAACACGAAGGAAAGTGCAGCAATATTTGTGCTAATGGCGGTTTTAATTTTCTAAAGAGCTACAGGTTGCCTTTTCGGTGGATCCATTAATTATTATAAGAAAAAGTGGTAAATTTCTCTGGGTTGACTCGGTTCTTGGTGAATGACAAACAGGAAAGATGTTCCTGACCTTTTGACTGCACAGCCAGAGTCATGTAGTGGGCAGAGTAGTACTTCTTCCAGAAAGCACGCAGACGCTTATAAACATTGATCTTCTTCCTCTTTGGCTCCTGCTTCAACGTCTCTGCGTTCCCTAGAGTTGTGTCGAGTAGACAATCAATTCAGCACAACAATGACACTCGGAGAAATTGGTGTAAAGAAATTATATAAAAATATAAATAGGGTTAACTTGGCACAAATTACACCAGTTGTTGTTTTTGCTCATCATCCTGCAAGGAGTCCCCAGTGTGGATTAAATATCCCAGTGGTTATTTTTGCTAACTCACCCCAACAGAACTTGCCCATGGGGTGTCCAGGTTTAGCCAGACTGCCAAACAGCATCTCCTTCCTGTGGGAGTCAGATGGTTTAGCCAGCTGGTACTCTGACAGGCAGGAGGATAGAGAGACAAAAACAGAAGAAACAGAACAAAAAATAAAAACCAAGGCCTAGCACTTCTTGAATGGATGCATATCAAGAATATATTCTTTTTGTTACAGTTGTGTGACAAAAACTATTTCTTTTTGTTCTTGAACTGCTTCTGTTCTGGTAAATGGTAAATGGACTGTATTTATATAGCGCCTTTCTATCCATCCAGGARGGACATTTAAAGCGCTTCACACTACAGACATTCACCCATGCACACACACCCATTCACACACTGATGATGGCAAACTACAATTGTAGCCACAGCTGCTCTGGGGCATACTGACAGAAGCGAGGCTGCCACACACACAGGCGCCACCTGACTCCCTGACCACCATCAGTAGGCAAGGTGGGTAAGGTGTCTTGCCCAAGGATACAACAACGGAGTCGACTGGACTGGGATCGAACCGGCGACCTTCCGGTTCCAGGACGACTCCCCTAACCACTCTACCACAGCTGCCCCAAGTGTGCACAAGCTCCTGGCATAACTTTTTTCTCACAGGCTTATGAGCCAAGTGTTACGTGATTAGTCAGAACTGGGG